TTTTCTTTATTTCTGCGTGGACGGTGTTTTTTTTTTGTTATTTCTTTAATTTGATGTTGTTGCAGTATGATTTCCTATGATCGTGAACCCACTGTGAAACCTCTACGTAAATGGAAGGCTCATTCGTTAGCTATTCATGGCTTGTCAGTCACAGATGGAGCTAATCCCCGCGTGGCCAGTTGTGGATTGGATCATGTTGCTACCATTCACTCAGTTTCGCTTGATGAGGTCCTATTAAAAGTAAGCAGTGGTGTTCTACTTATTGATAAAACGGTATTCATTGATAGTGAAAATCGATCAAGAAAGCAGTTTTTTTTCTGTTCAGATATCAGCAGATCGACCACTTACAGCTTGTGAACTGGATCCTGCTGAAACGCGATTGTTCCTCGGATCGGACACGGGGAATATCGCTCAGATTAATCTCTATGCTCTGGTTGGTACAATTCGTTCTCTTCATTTCTTTATAATTTTTGATTGTTCAATTGAAGGCACGCCTGCATTCAAAAGTGGTGATTTGTGCGGCTCATGAGAAAAGAAAGCGCTGAAAACCCGCTCGAAACACCCCATGTATATCCAGAGGGGGCGCCCTGATCATCAGCTGGACGTGCCTTTAAACTGCGTGGAACCTGCTTGATGAAAACGATTCCTAGAATTGCCTTGTGCGCCGCATAAGGAGCTACTGGAGTTGGGAGAGTGGTTCCTGGCGTGCTTTTATACGCCCTCTCACCGAGATGTAGTCCACTATTCAAACAAGACTTCCTTTAATGGGGGTCGGGGGATCGAAAAAAAGCAAAGAAGACAGGTTTTTGAAGCTGTTTTGTTATGATAACTGCTGTTTAAACGTGTGAGTGCTGTAAGGTTACGGCATAAGCCGTTAAGCTGAGAGGGTAAAAGCGGCCCTGGTGGCGTAACGGATAGCGCACTCGCCCGGAAAGCGTGAGGTGCGGGTTCGACTCCCGCCTGGGGCACGACTTTTGCCCACAACTCAGCATTCTTGTGATAAAAGAAGACAGAATCGTCGGAAATCGTCGCTCAGTTTTTCTTGCCCATTGGTGTTAAATAGGCGGAATGAGTTGGTTTTACCTGCCTTATCATTTTCATATTTAGGAAAACGCAAGAGATTTGTTAATACAAGTCGCAGATGAGAAGAATGAGCGTGTACCTGTCTTCTGTGGTCATTCTAGTGAAATCACCAGGTTAGCTGTGAATGGTGACGGATCGTTGTTGGCTTCAGGTGATTCCTCTGGCAAATACTGTATATGGGAAATCAATAGCAGGCAGTGTTTGAAGGTTGGCCAATGTTTAGAAGTCGTATTTTTCAGACTGTAAATTCTGTGGTTATCAATTTTCAGGTGTCCTCAATGCGTGGTCCAGTCTCGTCTCTAAAGTTTGTGGCGAACTGGCCCAGCATACATGCGGCAGAGCATATTTCTGCTCATCCCAATTTTGAATTGCAAAGGAATCTAACCAAAGGCGAGAAAATCCCCATGAGAGCATGTGCTGGAATTGACGTCAATAAGGTCAGTTTGAGGCGCACTTTTCGTTGAGAATCCTGTGGCTTATCTATTACTAACCGTAAGTCCTGATTAGTAGAAGTGAAGATACCCGAAGGAAGGGGTAGGGGACTTTTCCGGCGCAGAAAACGGCAGTACGTTGTCTGATGAGTAATTGGAGCGCTTTTGTTTCACTTCTACTGAGAGTTTTAAAAAAGCAACCGCCATGGAAAGTAACCTGAAATCATTTTTTTGTAACAGAACAGTTTTACAGGAGTTTTGGCATGATGAAGTAGACCACCTGCTGGACGCTGTTCTTCAAAATACCGCTTCGGTACGTTTGTTTTATGATCTACACTAATGAAGAAGTAAGCGTAACTGTAAAAGCGGAGTGTAATTTACAATGTTTTCCGGAATACAACAAATAATTTCATGGCTCCTGAAAAATTAGTTCTCGAAATTGCCCTTTAGACTATGTTCAGACTTTGCTATGCGCGTCGATGCGCTACCATTGCAATTTCGGTAGACTGTAGGAGAATAGGAGTGTGCAAGACGGTATGACTAGGCGTCGTAAAATTCACAAAATAGAAACGTCTGCAGTGCGGTCACGAGGCGGTAACGTCGCTTATTATAACACCTAATTACATGGTCTTTTACCTCTTTATACTCTCCCCAAATGTTGCCGGCTATCCACACCGGTCGATGGCTGAGCTTCGGTCCATAATATTGGAGCGCGATTGGGACAGTTGCATGGTGATGGTCAACGCGAAGTCTGAACGCAGCCTTAGTCGCTGTAGTAGTAATGCATGAGGAGAGATTCCCCTCTGTTGCCTAGTATATACTACGGGACTGAAGGTTTAATACCGTTGAGCTTTTGCGGCTCGATTGAGATTCTGCCTTTATACGCAGCACTTCTATTCTCTCAATTTGGTTATAAAGCTCAAGTTGAAAAAACACAGAAAGTTCCGTTTTGTCGCTCTTTTCGGCAAAAGCGTGGTATTCAGGAGGTAATTTTGCTCCAAAAAGGGCTCAAAGATAGAACAAGGGTTGTTCTCTATTGTCCCGCAAGTAGCTGAACAGTTATTTTTTATTTCATTCGGTGTGAGGGGGAGGGGGTGGCATAGCACGTCCATATTGGGGGCATTGCGCACCAGGACCCACTTGATTTAGAGTGACAGTTTAATGTATCGAGTCAACTAGCCAGAAAATGCTCTGCAAATTCTTGCGCAATGCTGCGACATGGATGTCCTGACCGGAGCCGAGTCGTAGTTAACTTGAGAAATTGGTTTTGTTACGGAAATTTGTGAATTTCTTTTTTCTTCTTGACAATGATGATTTGAAGCCTGCTGGAAGTTCCGACCCCAAGCAGAAGAAGAAGAAAAAGAAGCGAAAATTAGATGTGGAAACGAATGGTAAGGAGGAATGATGTTATTGTACTAGATAACGACATGGATATCCTAGAAGTCACGGAATCATCTTCATCTTCCAAGAGTGGTAAGTTTTCGACGTTTCTGCGCCGCTTCCTAATTTTCTGAAGAAAATAGCTAGTGAAGCTTCATTTCAGAGTCTTACTTCGAGCGATGATAAAAAATTAATAGAAGCGCAACGCCAGGAAATCCAGCGGTTGAAGAAAATCAATGCGGAACTCTACAACTTTATGGCATCAGAGTTGACAAAAAAGTAAAAATAACTGTACACGTGAAATTTTGTTGTTATTGTTGTTGTTAGATATTTGAAGTTGTTGATGTTTATTTGTTGGAAATTTGCAAGGTTTTGTACCGATGGTCATTTGCACATAAAATTCAGAATCTATGTTTGGTCTTTATGAGGGCGACAAAGTGGAGGAACAACAGAGTTTTCCCTGATGAGTAACCGGAACTGTCTGGTCAAGGGCACTCCGTATCTTGAAGATGTAGAGGGCGTGGCCGCATAGTTTATTGGGATAGATCTGCCGTTGTGCTTCTGATGGGATACTTTCGTTTCGGTAAAATTATAGACATGTCTTTGCCCAGCATAAAACGGACGATGGAAAAACTTGCGAAAACGCATATGTCATGTTCAAGTAGAGGATCTAACCACGTTCTCCCCGTCTTCGGGATATGGAGTTATGCTCTGGACTGAGGCAATCATTACAAGTGATTGCGAAACTTGAAAAGATAGGAGTGCGCGGAAATTCATAACGGATGATCCAGCTGTTTTCATCATGAAGGGTTGCGAGTTGCAATCAGGTCAAACTACATATGAGCGGAGCTATCTTGAACTCTTGACCTTTCAAACGAAAGGTCAAGCGTAACCACTGAGCTAGCGAAATACCATCGTACAGATTCTGCATGTGAAATATACATAGCTGGTGCTGTCGCAATCATTCAGAACGGGGCCATCCGGAGGGTTATGTTGGTCAGCGGGCTGAATGGGCCAAAAATGTTCGTTACAATGGAAATTTCCGTGGTGTGTCCTTGAGAAATTGGGTTGTGATTTCGCCAAACACTTCTGAAGCTGATCGTCTGTCGAGCCTCTTCATAGGTAAGCTTTTATCAATTGAACTGTTTCACAGCTGGGTTCACTGTTGTTTTTTTATGAATAAGTCATGATGTTCACTACAGAAGAAGTCAAACAAGTCGGACATGTGATGAGAATTGACGTGAATTATCCAATGATACAAATTTGCAAAGATGCATCTCAATCGTCGTACCATGAAGCCGTTAAAATGGCCATCGAAAGGGTGGGTTTTCATAGTACACACTTGTTGTGCTAAAAATAGCCTAGTTTCCGCGCCCAAGTGCCGACTACGGCTGTGCCGTACCGATGAATTTCTAGGTAATGTTGCTCACCTGAGCTCACTCCACAGTATTGTGAGAGTTCAGTTGTACGCATCTGATGATCCCTATCATCTGCTGACGAAACAGGCGAGGAACTCTGTACGCGTCATTGACAGCCAGGGGAGAGGAGACAATCGTGATTTCTCGCGCGACGATGGATGCGACGTACTTAATTTGCGTGAGCATGTTTAATGGAGCAAATTTCATGTATACTACGGCGTCGTACATATTTCCATTTTTGATTTTACATTGTAAATTGTTGGAATCCACTACTCGAGATGCCGTCCTTCGCATGGCGCGACGTCGCACGCGACGCCTATTAGCGCGGTGAAGTACGAGTCTTGTCACATACCCCTCGCTACATCTGCAGTGACAACGGCATCCCAGCTTGTGCCGGTGAGGTGCTTGCGATGGAGATAGAAATTCGACAGCGGAGAAGAGAGAACACGGCTTAAGTCCGCTTTCTAGGGTCAAAGGTAGATTCTGATCTTTACATAAGGCTGAGCTAGCGGAGGGAAGGTATCACTCGTTGTGCCGCCGCTTGGCTTCTCGAACTACGGTAATGCCGAGATAAAGCCTTGTTTGCTGCATGTCAGGGGTGCTGGTTTTTGCGCGGCGCCAGCCAGGTTTCCACCAATTGTGATCGCCCACCACATTCCACATTTGGTAGATGAGTTGGCACCGCCCTAAATCCCAACCTTCACGTGCCCCACTGTGGCAGCGTAAGAGTGTTCATTCCTGCTTATAGGTTTCAACTCGATCTTAATATTGGCCGTGATGTAATATCGAGGGAGTGGTCAGCCTGGGCCATTCACGTTCTTCGCTTCAGCCTGAGCCTGGAATAGTCAAAAACAAAAAGGAGTTTGTACTCACTAACGCCTCTACAAGAACTGGGAAGTACTGTGGAATGGGAAGTACTGCGAAGTACTACCTAGCGGTACCAACTGATTAAGACGACTTGGCATACCTTTATCTCAGTCGCGATGACATGATATCGAAAGGAAACGGTAAGGAAATAGCAATTTGCCGCTGCATCGCCCGCGCCGATGGATTGGAGCACCGAATTTCATATATTCGGCGACATTATGCACATGTCTGCCATATTTTGGGTTACACACTGGCTATTTTCGTCACCCACGATCCCAGAAACATGGCGCACGCGACGTCCATAACGCGGCGAATTACGATTCCCATACCCGACACCCAGGCTACTTACCTGCGGTGAGCTCCCACTTGCAAGCCCCTCCCCTTCACCTCATGTAAATCGAAGCCCGGAAAGGACGCGGAAGAGCGCGAATTGACGGGAACTGGCCCCACAGTATTCTTCTCCTGTTCCAGTTCATTTTGGGCATTTTCGCCACAGTTCAGAACACTTTCAACTGTTTTTCAAGTCGCCGTTTCGAGCTCTTTTTCTAAGATGGAATAGCTGCCCAGAGTTTAACATTTTCGTGAAACCGAAGCTCGCTAACCACTCAAGGAGTGCCATTTTCAGGCTGGTCGTCAACCCATTCATATGATGGTTTTGATACTGTGGGATGACAATAAGGCACGATACGATTCCCTGAAAGGCTGGTTATGCTCGGAAACAAATAGTGAGCTTTCTATATAATCTCTGAATCTGCTGCTATGCTTAAAGATAAATAATTAATCCTTTCTAGTTCCTTCTCAGTGTGTGCAAATGAGTACTCTTCGAGGACGACAGAGTGAAGGAGGACGTAACAAGAACTTTGGATCTATTGTCCTTAAAATTGTTCTGCAGATGAATCTGTAAGATGGGTGGAGCTCTATGGAAAGTGCACATTCCGGTATGTTTTCTTCATATTCCTAATCGTCTTCTCGCTCTTAATCGTAACTTTTTTTGCTCTTAAGCATAATTCAAATGCTTATCTATTTCGCGATTTTTGCTTATTCTTTGTGCATTTGCAATTTAGTCTCTGATGAGAGCTACCCACACGATTTTCGCGGCAAGAATGCTGAGTTATGGCGCAAACGTCATACCTCGGACGGGGTTCAAACCAGCACCTCGTGCAGACAGATTGAGTGCGCTGTGCTTAGGCTGCGTTCATACTTTGCGGCAAGTTCACCAGCATTAGGCAGGGTATCGAGCTACCACAGCGCCAGTGACTATGGAAGGTATAGTTGAGGTCTAGGAACGCCATCGTCTACAAGGGACCACTAGCCAAGGCACAGAAGTATGCAATTACTGCGGTTAAGTGCAATTGTGTGGTATTGCACACGCCCTAACTACTCGACGCCTAGTTCAGCTGTCTGCTACCCTCCTACTTCCTCATACTCTCTACTCCTGGACGCTGGTGGACGCTGGCATAAGCTAGTGGACGCTGACGCAAAGTGTGAACGCAGCCTGATGCATACTGACTGTAATAGTTAAACTCATTCGATGTTTGTTGTTACTTACCATATGAATTACTTTCTACTTTTAGATGAGGAATGCTATGATAGTTGGTTATGATTTGTACCATGATTCGACACTTTATGGAAAGACCATTGGTGCATGCGTGTCAACGACAGACCAGGACTATACTCAGTTCTATTCACAGACTCGTCCCCATGAAAATCCTACAGAACTCAATGTGCTGGGCGAATCAAATCTGGCCACTTCATCAAAAGTAAGCTTCTTCTTTTCCTAGTTCATCTAGCTGGCAGGTAGCCTTGCCTGCGACAAAGCCGCGCAGAAGTGCAGAGTCAAAAAATTTGTTCATTGAAAGCGGTGGGCACCGTGGCTGGAGGCGAGCGTTTGTTGCCAGCGTCATTGGTGGAAAGGGAAGGCGTTTGGCGACCCACTTGGCCCTTTCCACTATTGCACGTTGGCAACAGACCCGCCCGCTCCCAGCCATACTTCCTCTCGTTTAAGGCATGCATGTTTGAAGTTGGGTTGAACATGGTTGTTACAGAGGCGCTTCATAAGTACTATGTAGCTAACAATCGTACACTCCCGGATAAAATCTTCCTTTATCGCGATGGGGTTGGCGACGGGCAAATTCACTATGTGAAGGATCAGGAGGTTAATATTTGGTTTCAAGTGAAACCTATAAAGGGTAGTAATTCTTTAACTCCAGGTAACTTTGGTGCAGAAAGCGTGTGAAGAAATCGTGGAGAAGAAGAAGGCAAAACCTATCAAGCTGGCTTTCATCATCGTCACGAAAAAGGGTGAACATGAGGATTTTCAAAGGAGCACCCGATGCACTGTTGACAAACCCGGATCCTGGCACGGTTGTCGATACGGTTGTCACACGTCCTGAGAGATATGACTTCTACCTTGTTCCACAATTTGTGAATCAAGGGACTGTCACACCGGTCTGTTACAATGTCATCTTTGACAATACAGGTCTGTCGCCGGATCATCATCAAAAGGCAAGTTTTGCTCATTTGGGGCAGTTCGGCCAACGGAGGGCGGGGGGGAGGGGGCAAGTGTGCATGTTGCATTTATGCTTGCCTATTCCATCGACCCGTCGAGCCATCATGCTGTGAGGGACGACCCTGTGAAATCTCTGCTCTGAAGTCACGACACTGATACATGCGAGGTTTTTGAGCTATGAAGGTTACGTGTCATTTTTGTGAGATTCTGATGAAAATTTCTCTTATGAGCTGACCAGAGTTTGACAGGTAATTCTACCATTGGTGACTCGATCGAGTTTGACGCTCAGTTTCCAGTACATTCGCCAAGTCAGACGTAACCACAGGATTACATTTTTATGATGTGAAGCCAAAAAGCAAAGCACAGCCGATGCGGGCCCCCTCGTCGCCGAATGCGCCCATTTTTCTTACTTTTCACGCATTTTTCAATCGCCTTTTGTTTTTTTCAGCTTGCAGTCAAGTTGTGCCACTGTCTGTACTCACAACTGTGCAGAGGACAGTAGCGACCCTGTACCGGCTCCATGTCAGTACGCCCATAAGTTGGCGTTCATGGTAGCGCAGTCAATTCATAATAAAGAAGTGAATCAAGAGCTTCGCAGTAAGCTATTCTTCCTATAAAAGCTGTCAGAATGACCGGTTTTAAGAAAAGGTTTATGTTGTTGTAGTGAAATTGTTTAGTTGTACAGTTTTAATCGCTGCGTATGATGGGGCGTGTCAGTGGGGCTATTGACGCGCCGCCAGCCCGTTCTGAACCAGTTGTTGAAGCGGATAAGCGATAATAATTGGTGGAAAATGACTGCTACGAATGATACGATACAATTTGTGGCTTGCCAAAAAAGAGAACAACGGGCTGGAGCTGCGCTAAACCCTCCCCACTGACACGCCCTATCATTGCAGCTATCAAGACTGTATTGATGTTCTTCATAGTATTTCCCTAACTTTGTTTATTGAGTTTTAGACAAATTTTAATTGTTTCAGTTCATTGTTATTTTTAATATTATCTGTTCTAGCGCTAATATCTTTTATTTGAGACGCTGCAGTTATTTTTTAAATGTGCCTAGCATAGTCTGTTATTGAATTCTATTCCAAATAGCCTGATGATCTGGATAAGGGTGCGCCCGACAAGCTGAGCTTAGTAGAGTTGTTAACTCAAAAACTTGTTGAAATTGCTAAGCTGAAAGTCCATGTTTTGACATGTTATTTTGCAAAAAGGCGTTTTAAAGCGTCAAGTATTGAGAAATGAATTGCAAAATTCGTATTGTTCTTTTCACAAATATTTCATAGACATTATTTGTTTACATTTTTTTCTGCATACTTTTATCTGGATTGTAGTGTTCCTCGTCGTTTAAAATGTTGAATATAATGGTTTCGGCGTTTTTGCTTGAAAAAACAGCTCAGTTCCGCGAAAGGGAAGGGAGCGTTCGCACAAACAATATATAGACGAGACGATCGTTATTTGCCGGGTTGCCGCGCGCGGCTTTTCGTGCGGCAAATTCTTAATGGGCGTCAGTTTGTCGATTAAATAGCGAAACTCATGTGAACAAGCGGACGCAAGACTCCATGAGAAGACGGCCAAGACTATCGTTTTTGCCGCTTCGTCGCGCGTGGCGATGGGTGCGTCGTTTTCTTAATTTCCATTGACCTGTCGATTAGGGAACCGGTTTTCACATAGATTTCGACATCGTGGACACTTACGGCTAGTCTGTTTCCGCCATCTATGATCGAGAAACTTCTGCAGGGACGACGCGCGACACCCACCGGCGCGGGGAGGTATGTGGTAAGAGAGTCGTAGTTCGCTGCGCAAGAGGGTGTCGCGCGCGACGTCGCGCCCGCTGATGACGTCGATTGAGGTGGTGTTGGTCGAGCATAGAGAATACGTGTCCAAAAATAGAAGAGTCTACCTACCATGTCCTTGTGTACATGAAACCGGATGCTCCAACCGAACGGGTAGTGCAAATCAAGGAAGGGTCGCGCCCATTGCCGCGCGCGACTATGCGGCAAATTACGATTCTCTTGCCCGTCTCCCGGCACGGTGAATTACGATTGTCTTGTCACATACTCGGCCGATGACGAGCGATATCGAGTGTTCCCGTTTCTTTAACACTCAAGTTCAAATGGCTAGGCAGAGTAACTCGTCCAGCAGGCGCTGTTAGTCGCTCGCCACGCCCACCAGAGCGGTATTTTACAATTGTCTTGTGGCATACCCAGGTTCAACTATATGTAGTGTTGCTCTCATCTCGTATGGTAACACATTTCCTGTCATTTGAGGGTTATATGGAATGCCCTAATAACTGGCCAATCTGCCTGTATGCCCTAGTAACTGGCAATCTGCCTGCAGGGCGTCTGTCACAGAATTTCGTATTGAACCTTCAAACAGACGAGTGGAGTGAGTCGACACGGGGCGGAAAATCATTAGTTATTTCTTTCTGAATCGATCACTCACTAATCAGAATTGGTTGAAAAGGCAGCCTGCTGTCGCAATCATTCAGAACGGGGCCAGGAGAGAACAAGGGACGTGGTGAGTTTGCGAGAATTGTGGTGCTGTCTGCCGAAAAAGTTCATGGACTAGCTGTAATTCTCATAAATTAGCTAATTGTATTATGATTGGCGGAACCAAGGCTTGAATTTTGGGCTCTATCTGCCCTTTTCGCCCCTAGTTTCCGGAATCAGCGAGTTTTTAACCCACTTTTTCTGTGAGGGCGGATTTGGCTGAACACTTGTCTCCAAGGGTAGTTTGACCACTTGGACCAAATATCCGAAATTACCAAATTCGCTGAAAATTTGTCCCCAGGGGGAGTTTCACCTCCTGGTCACGAAACACGTATTAGCCGGAAGCTTGACCTGCGAGATGAATGGGTCCGCAGCTGCAGTAGCGTGTGTAAGGGGCTAGAGGATAGTGATGTCCGGGTGCCGTCTTCCATAACTACTCGCACTGCTGCAGGCTCCGGAGGTGATTGTACAGTTTGTCCTTGCTTTTCTGTGAATCATAACCAAACGCACTGGGTATCTGCGCCCTTCTGGTTGTTCTCTACCGCTGAGTACGTGTCTCTTGCGGGACGCTGGCACCGAAAAAAGTGTTGTATCTCGAGGAGAACGCGGGTGGTGTGTGCACTCGGGTACGACTACCCACTGGGCCCTGTTCCGTTACTTTCAAGCGAATGAAGCGGCGCGCTACTGTATCTGTGGACCCTTTCTCCTCGCACATGCCAAAGACCGTCTCCGGAGGTGAGTGTACAGTTTGTCCTTGCTTTTCTGCGACTGGTAAGTGTTTCAGATGAACTACGAGCTGAAGAGAGTAAAGGACAACATCGAGAGGTTCCACATAAATATGGAAGGTTTACTTGTCGGAGAAACGGTTTTTGCTCGGTACGTTCCTTGAAATCGTCGGGTACTGAACGTCACATCCAAAACGCCCGTTACGCTTTCTTCAGCGACATGTGACGTTTTCAGTTACAACAATAAAATGTATCGAGTGGCTGGAATCGACTACAGTATGACCCCTGACTCGACATTCACTATGAATAATGGATCAGAAACTACGCTGAAAAATTATTTTGAAAAGCAGTACAACCTAGTCATCAGAGCTGCTCGTCAACCTGTGTTGGTAAGCATTCATTGGCGCTGTAGTACCATGGGGCCGTAATCGTCTACACTCGCATGGTAAGGTCGGACAGTTGCGGCCCCCTAATATTGTAGTGCCCATTTGGCATTGTACGCAATCAGGGATTCAGGGTTCGTCCTTAGGCTGCGTTCACACTTTGCGTCAGCGTACGGCAGGGCAGCTTTTTGAGTGCAAATCAGCCGCTACGAAAGTATAGATATCGATCTAGCGTACGCCAGCGTCCAGGAGGGTATGGATATCGATCTAGCGTACGCCCGCGTACAGCAGCTTTTTCGCGGGCAGTTTTGCTCAGGCTCAATTCGCCCGCGAAGATGCTGCTGCACGCTGGCGTACGCTACATCTATACCTCAAATTTTCTAGTCGCCGGCGCTGGCGTACGCTCGAAAAGCTGGCGTACGCTGACGCAAAGTATGAACGCAGTCTTATTATGGGCTACAGAGCCCTTTATCATTAACAGCCAGATTTACGGGTTTGCTGTTGTTTTATTGTGCGTTTTGTAGGTAAGCGAAGGGAAGGTCAAGCAGCCAAATGGTGCACCGCAGTATGCATACTTACTGCCAGAGTTGTGCTATCCTACTGGTCTCACCGATGCTATGAGGAAAGACTTCAGACACATGAGAGAGCTATCAAGACACACTCGATTAGATCCGGAAAAAAGACGTCAAACGACCGAGAAGCTCTTGACAATGATACATCAAGAATGAGAAATGCTGTGCCTTATTGGATCGATGGGGTATTATTTTGGATAGAAGACTAGTCTCATTCCAATCAAGGGAACTGGATCCTGAAAAGGTATGTTATTGAATAATCTAGCAAACAATTCAGTCTTTTTATTGATAGCGGTTGTTTTGCAAGTAGTGTGGTGCCAGTTGGTGATACGGGAATTGTAAAGCTGCCTTCAGACTTTGCTGCAGCGACCACCATTTTCGGGCCTACGCCAGCGCTAGCGACTGGGAAAGTATGAATATCTATCAGCGAACATTCACGTCCGGGAGTGGAGAGTACGAAGAAGTAAGAGGGCAGCAGACTGCTGGTGGAGTATGGTGGAATAGGAGGGGGCAGACAGCTGGATTAAGCGTCGTAAAAGTTCGACGTGTGCAACCGTACTACCGCTAGCACAGAATTATGCAATTTATGTATTGTGTAGTACAACGGTCGGTTGCTCTTATGCAGCTCTCTGCTCCCTCCTACTTTCGCATACTCTACCAGCAGTCTGCTACCCTCCTACTGCCCCGTACTCGTCACTCATGGATGCTGATAGGCGCTGGATCGATACCTATACTTTCCTAGTCGCCGGCGTTGACAGACGCTCGAACGCTGTAATTCGGTGGTGGACGCTGTCGCAAAGTATGAACGCGACCTAATCTTATTATTTGGCAGCTCTTTGGACTGCATCCGGAAGGGTTATGTTGGTCAGCGGGCTGAATGGGCCAAAAATGTTCGTTACAATGGAAATTTCCGTGGTGTGTCCTTGAGAAATTGGGTTGTGATTCTCGCCAAACACTTCTGAAGCTGATCGTCTGTCGAGCCTCTTCATAGGTAAGCTTTTATCAATTGAACTGTTTCACATCTGGGTTCACTGTTGTTTTTTTATGAATAAGTCATGATGTTCATTACAGAAGAAGTCAAACAAGTCGGACATGTGATGAGAATTGACGTGAATTATCCAATGATACAAATTTGCAAAGATGCATCTCAATCGTCGTACCATGAAGCCGTTAAAATGGCCATCGAAAGGGTGGGTTTTCATAGTACACACTTGTTGTGCTAAAAATAGCCTAGTTTCCGCGCCCAAGTGCCGACTACGGCTGTGCCGTACCGATGAATTTCTAGGTAATGTTGCTCACCTGAGCTCACTCCACAGTATTGTGAGAGTTCAGTTGTACGCATCTGATGATCCCTATCATCTGCTGACGAAACAGGCGAGGAACTCTGTACGCGTCATTGACAGCCAGGGGAGAGGAGACAATCGTGATTTCTCGCGCGACGATGGATGCGACGTACTTAATTTGCGTGAGCATGTTTAATGGAGCAAATTTCATGTATACTACGGCGTCGTACATATTTCCATTTTTGATTTTACATTGTAAATTGTTGGAATCCACTACTCGAGATGCCGTCCTTCGCATGGCGCGACGTCGCACGCGACGCCTATTAGCGCGGTGAAGTACGAGTCTTGTCACATACCCCTCGCTACATCTGCAGTGACAACGGCATCCCAGCTTGTGCCGGTGAGGTGCTTGCGATGGAGATAGAAATTCGACAGCGGAGAAGAGAGAACACGGCTTAAGTCCGCTTTCTAGGGTCAAAGGTAGATTCTGATCTTTACATAAGGCTGAGCTAGCGGAGGGAAGGTATCACTCGTTGTGCCGCCGCTTGGCTTCTCGAACTACGGTAATGCCGAGATAAAGCCTTGTTTGCTGCATGTCAGGGGTGCTGGTTTTTGCGCGGCGCCAGCCAGGTTTCCACCAATTGTGATCGCCCACCACATTCCACATTTGGTAGATGAGTTGGCACCGCCCTAAATCCCAACCTTCACGTGCCCCACTGTGGCAGCGTAAGAGTGTTCATTCCTGCTTATAGGTTTCAACTCGATCTTAATATTGGCCGTGATGTAATATCGAGGGAGTGGTCAGCCTGGGCCATTCACGTTCTTCGCTTCAGCCTGAGCCTGGAATAGTCAAAAACAAAAAGGAGTTTGTACTCACTAACGCCTCTACAAGAACTGGGAAGTACTGTGGAATGGGAAGTACTGCGAAGTACTACCTAGCGGTACCAACTGATTAAGACGACTTGGCATACCTTTATCTCAGTCGCGATGACATGATATCGAAAGGAAACGGTAAGGAAATAGCAATTTGCCGCTGCATCGCCCGCGCCGATGGATTGGAGCACCGAATTTCATATATTCGGCGACATTATGCACATGTCTGCCATATTTTGGGTTACACACTGGCTATTTTCGTCACCCACGATCCCAGAAACATGGCGCACGCGACGTCCATAACGCGGCGAATTACGATTCCCATACCCGACACCCAGGCTACTTACCTGCGGTGAGCTCCCACTTGCAAGCCCCTCCCCTTCACCTCATGTAAATCGAAACCCGGAGAGGACGCAGAAGAGCGCGAGTTGAGGGGAACTGGCCCCACAGTATTCTTTCTTGTTCTAGTTCATTTTGGGCGTTTTCGCCACAAGTTCAGAACACTTTCAACTGTTTTTCAAGTCGCCGTTTCGAGCTCTTTTTCTAAGATGGAATAGCTGCCCAGAGTTTAACATTTTCGTGAAACCGAAGCTCGCTAACCACTCAAGGAGTGCCATTTTCAGGCTGGTCGTCAACCCATTCATATGATGGTTTTGATACTGTGGGATGACAATAAGGCACGATACGATTCCCTGAAAGGCTGGTTATGCTCGGAAACAAATAGTGAGCTTTCTATATAATCTCTGAATCTGCTGCTATGCTTAAAGATAAATAATTAATCCTTTCTAGTTCCTTCTCAAGTGTGTGCAAATGAGTACTCTTCGAGGACGACAGAGCGAAGGAGGACGTAACAAGAATTTTGGATCTATTGTCCTTTAAAATTGTTCTGCAGATGAATCTGTAAGATGGGTGGAGCTCTATGGAAAGTGCACATTCCGGTATGTTTTCTTCATATTCCTAATCGTCTTCTCGCTCTTAATCGTAACTTTTTTTGCTCTTAAGCATAATTCAAATGCTTATCTATTTCGCGATTTTTGCTTATTCTTTGTGCATTTGCAATTTAGTCTCTGATGAGAGCTACCCACACGATTTTCGCGGCAAGAATGCTGAGTTATGGGCAAACGTCATACCTCGGACGGGGTTCAAACCAGCACCTCGTGCAGACAGATTGAGTGCGCTGTGCTTAGGCTGCGTTCATACTTTGCGGCAAGTTCACCAGCATTAGGCAGGGTATCGAGCTACCACAGCGCCAGTGACTATGGAAGGTATAGTTGAGGTCTAGGAACGCCATCGTCTACAAGGGACCACTAGCCAAGGCACAGAAGTATGCAATTACTGCGGTTAAGTGCAATTGTGTGGTATTGCACACGCCCTAACTACTCGACGCCTAGTTCAGCTGTCTGCTACCCTCCTACTTCCTCATACTCTCTACTCCTGGACGCTGGTGGACGCTGGCATAAGCTAGTGGACGCTGACGCAAAGTGTGAACGCAGCCTGATGCATACTGACTGTAATAGTTAAACTCATTCGATGTTTGTTGTTACTTACCATATGAATTACTTTCTACTTTTAGATGAGGAATGCTATGATAGTTGGTTATGATTTGTACCATGATTCGACACTTTATGGGAAAGACCATTGGTGCATGCGTGTCAACGACAGACCAGGACTATACTCAGTTCTATTCACAGACTCGTCCCCATGAAAATCCTACAGAACTCGGGAACAATCTTGGCCACTTCATCAAAAGTGAGTTCTTCTTTCCTAGTTCATCTAGTGGCAGTAGCCTTTCTGGACAAAGCGCAGAAGTGCAGAGTCAAAAAATTTGTTCATTGAAAGCGGTGGGCACCGTGGCTGGAGGCGAGCGTTTGTTGCCAGCGTCATTGGTGGAAAGGGAAGGCGTTTGGCGACCCACTTGGCCCTTCCACCAGTGACGTTGGCAACAACCGCCCGCCCCCAGCCATACTCCCTACTTCTTTAAGCATGAGTTGAAGTTGGTTGAAATGGTTGTTACAGAGGCGCTTCATAAGTACTATGTGGCTAACAATCGTACACTCCCGGATAAAATCTTCCTTTATCGCGATGGGGTTGGCGACGGGCAAATTCACTATGTGAAGGATCAGGAGGTTAATATTTGGTTTCAAGTGAAACCTATAAAGGGTAGAAATTCTTTAACTCCAGGTAACTTTGGTGCAGAAAGCGTGTGAAGAAATCGTGGAGAAGGAGAAGGCAAAACCTATCAAGCTCGCTTTCATCATCGTCACGAAAAAGGTGAACATGAGGATTTTCAAAGGAGCACCCGATGCACTGTTGACAAACCCGGATCCTGGCACGGTTGTCGATACGGTTGTCACACGTCCTGAGAGATATGACTTCTACCTTGTTCCACAATTTGTGAATCAAGGGACTGTCACACCGGTCTGTTACAATGTCATCTTTGACAATACAGGTCTGTCGCCGGATCATCATCAAAAGGCAAGTTTTGCTCAATTTGGGGCAGTTCGGCAACGGAGGGAGGGGGGGGGGAGGGGGAAAGGCATTTTGCACTTCTTGCTACTTCCCATCGACCCGTCGAGCCATCAAGTTGAGGGAGACCTGTGAAATCTTGTGAAGCCACGACTGATACCAGCCAGCTTTGTGAAGGCTATGAAGGCTACCTGTCATTTTTTGTAGATTCCTAATGAAAATCTTTCCATGAGCTGACAAGAGTTGACAGGTTCACCATGGTGACTCGACGAGCTTGCTCAGCTTCACAAAAGTTCACAGTTTCACCAGAGTGAGACTTGTAAACCGGAACTAGTGAAGCAACGAAAGTGCAAAGCCCCCCCCCCTCGTCGCCGAATCGCGCCCACTTTTCTATTTTCACGCCATTTTCAATCACTTTTGTTTTTTCAGCTTGCATTCAAGTTATGCCACTTGTACTACAACTGGCAGGGAACAGTACGTGTACCGGCTCCATGTCAGTACGCCCATAAGTTGGCGTTCATGGTAGCGCAGTCAATTCATAATAAAGAAGTGAATCAAGAGCTTCGCAGTAAGCTATTCTTCCTATAAAAGCTGTCAGAATGACCGGTTTTAGAAAAAGGTTTCATGTTGTTGTAGTGAAATTGTTTTGTTGTTCTTTGTTCGCTGCGTATGATGGGGAGTGTAAGTGGGGCTGGGTTTGACGCGCCGCCCGCTCGTTCTCCACCAATTGTTGATGTGGGGTAGCGACAATATTCGGTGGGAGATGACTATCACGAATGATATGATACAGTTTGTGGCTTGCTGAAAAAAAGAACGGGCTGGCGCTGCGCTAAACCCACCTCCCCTGACACGCCCTATCATTCGCAGCTATCAAGGCTGTAGTGATGTTCTTCATGGTACTTTCCTAACTTTGTTTATTGAGTGTTATTTTTAATATGATTTGTTCTAGCGCTAATATATTTTATTTGGGACGCTGCAATTATTTTTTAAATGTGCCTAGCATAGTCTGTTATATTCTATTCCAAATAGCCTGATGATCTGGATAAGGGTGCGCCCGACAAGCTGAGCTTAGTAGAGTTGTTAACTCAAAAACTTGTTGAAATTGCTAAGCTGAAAGTCCATGTTTTGACATGTTATTTTGCAAAAAGGCGTTTTAAAGCGTCAAGTATTGAGAAATGAATTGCAAAATTCGTATTGTTCTTTTCACAAATATTTCATAGACATTATTTTGTTTACATTTTTTCTGCATACTTTTATCTGGATTGTAGTGTTCCTCGTCGTTTAATAAATGTTGAATATAATGGTTTCGGCGTTTTTGCTTGAAAAACAGCTCAGTTCGGCGAAGGGGGAGGGGACGTTTGCATAGACAACATATAGACGAGACAATCTTTATTTGCCGCTCTGCCGCGCGTGGCGATGAATGTCTCGTTTTCCTAATTGCATTGACCTGTCGCTTAGATGACCGCTTTTCACATAGATTTCGACATCGTGGACACCTACGGCTAATCATCTACGATCTAGAAACTTCTGCGAGTTGACGCGCGACGCCCACCGGCGCGGGGGTATGTGGCAAGAGAATCGTAGCTCGCTGCGCAATGGGGGAGTCGCGCGCGACGTCGCGCCCGCTGATGACGTCGATTGAGGTGGTGTTGGTCGAGAATAGAGAATACGTGACCAAAAATAGAAGAGTCTACCATGTCCTTGTGTACATGAAACCCGATGCTCCAACCGAACGGGTACTGCAAATCTAGGATGGGCCGCGCGCGACTATGCGGCAAGTAACGATTCTCTTGTCCGTCTTCCTGCACGGTGAATTACGATTGTCTTGTCACATACTCGGCCGATGACGAGCGATATCGAGTGTTCCCGTTTCTTTAACACTCAAGTTCAAATGGCTAGGCAGAGTAACTCGTCCAGCAGGCGCTGTTAGTCGCTCGCCACGCCCACCAGAGCGGTATTTTACAATTGTCTTGTCGCATACCCAGGTTCAACTATATGTACAGTTGCTATCATCTCGTATGGTAACACATTTGCTGATTGTCATTTGAGAGTTATATGGAATGCCCTACTAACTGGCCAATCTGCCTGTAGGGCGTCTGTCACGGAATTTCGTATTGAACCTTCAAACAGACGAGTGGAGTGAGTCGACACGGGGCGGAAAATCATTAATTATTTCTTTCCGAATCGATCACTCACTGATCACAATTGGTTGAAAAGGCAGCCGGAGGCGGGCCCCACTCCCCCCCCCCTCTCATGGCCCCGTTCTGAATAAGCTATGTGTATTTCACATGCAGAATCTGTACGATGGTATTTCGCTAGCTCAGTGGTTACGCTTGACCTTTCGTTCGAAAGGTCAAGAGTTCAAGATAGCTCCGCTCATATGTAGTTTGACCTGATTGCAACTCGCAACCCTTCATGATCACGAAAGGTTTCTTCTACTGGCACAGTTTCAGCAGCGACTTCACTTTCCTGTTGTGGGAGAAGATCCAGTCGTTTTCGCGAGAAATGGTGCAGGTTTCTCCCACAACAGGAAAGTGAAGTCGCTGCTGAAACTGTGCCAGTAGAAGAAACCTTTCGTGATCATGAAGGGTTGCGAGTTGCAACC